TTTTCTTTTTTTTTTTTTTAAGATTTTTTTTAACTGAATCACCGTGAGATACCAAGCTGCTCATGGTTGTGTTTCAGTCATCATATGTGTTCCGACACCTGTCCCTCCACCAGTGTCCGTTTCCCACCACCAATGTCTCTCCCCAGTGTTCCTCCACCCCCCTAGGTGCACATCTCGTCTCCCTCCTTTTCTCCCTCCCTCCCCCCTCCCGCATCAGAGCTTTTCCCGGAGTCTCCCTTAGAAGCGAGCTTGGATCCTGGGAGACAGGACAAGGATTCAGGTTCTTGCCTTGCATGTGGCTGACCCGGGAACAGCATAGAGTTCCCGAGCACCGAAAGATCACAAGGGCAGGACACTGAACACTGCTCGTTGTGCCTAGAACACTGGCCCCCAGAAGAGAAGATGACCCTTACCAGGGTGCAGGCCTGAGGCCTAGCACTGGGCTGGAATCCTGCTGCCTTGATTTATGCCACAAGCACAGCGGGGTCGGGGTGCTGTTGACCCCCTCTCTCCTTCTCTTTTCCCATACCACAGACCTGGCTCGGTGCCCAGCTCCCAGCCCTTTCCTGTTGCACCCAGAGAGGAAGCCAGAGCTCAGTGTGTCCCTGGGCCGTGCGTCCCCCCACCCGGAGCCTGCTTTTCCCACATGAGGAGGAATCAGGCTGTTTTCCAGGGGCCCTTCCTCAGTGTCCTTCCCCAGACAGCTGCGGAGAAGAGGCAGAGAGCAGAACAGGGGCCTGGGGGACAGATGCCACATGGGCTACAGCCGGGCCTGCAGGAAGAGCCTGCACAGGCCTCCCTGGCCCACCACGTGGGGTTCAAGACCCTGCCCCCTCCATTCGTGAGGCACAGACCAACACAAGGTTGTCAGGTAGGATGTTTATTGAGCCCTCCGGGGCCCCCCTCACTCTTCCTTCTCATCCCCATGGGTGATGATGTAGCACAGAGACTTGTAGTCGATGTTCCCGGCCAGGTCCATGGGCGTCAGCGCAAACATCTGCTCCACCTGGGAGGCGCTAGTGAGAATAACTCCACAAACGCGTCCCTCCTGCCCCCTGCCCGGCGCCCTGCTCCAGCCCAGCCCCGCACCTGTGCGGTGCATCTGCTCCAACCTTTCAAGCCAACCCCAAACCTGCTCAGGTACTCCTGCTGCTGACCAGGGCACAGGTGGGCTGAGAGCACCGTCCCTTCTCTGTCCCTCAGCCCCCACACCCTGTGTGCCCACCCGCTTGCCCACCCTTGCTCTGCCTGCAGCTGGCCCTGCACCTACCCCTCCCCTCCAGACCCTGTGTCTCGCCGAGATGGGTACACCCCAGAACTCAGCCCACAGGGGCTCTGGCCTCACCTCAGCGGGAGAGAACTTGTCTGCCTGCGTCAGGAGAAGCTGCTTGAACCTGGGTGAAGGGGCCACCTCAGGGACTGCAGGGCTGGGAGTGGGAGTTCCACCCAGCTTAGGGGGCTCCTCTCAAAGGGGCCCCTCCCCACGCGGTCCCAGCACTTACTCATCCTTGTTCACCACCCCCTTGCCACTGGGGTCAAACATGCGGAAGGCACTCAGGATGGCTTCTTCGGGGTCCGTGCCTGGGTGACCAGGAAGCACAGTAAGCACCCTCAGTCTCCCCAGGACCCCCGAGAATGGGGGAAACCAGATGCATGGGGGAGAGGGGCTTCCACTGAATATAGTGTCCGGGGGGCTCTGAGAAGCCAAGACCATTCAGGTGTGGGCAGGCCCAGCAGAGGAGCAGAGCTGAAGCACATTTCCCAGCCCAGCGTCATCCTGGGGTGGACAGTTCCCCTGGGGAGAGGGACAGAGAAAGTGGGGTGGCTTCCAGCAAGGGTCCCAGCTCACCATTGAGCTTCTCCCCGAAGAGTGTGAGGAAGACGGTGAAGTTGATGGGGCCCTTCCCCTCTTGCAGCATGGCCTCCAGTTCCTCGTCTGGCACGCTCACCTTCCCTGCGGGCCAGGCGTCACAGCAGGCCTGAGACGCCTGGCCAGGACAGGGGCCGTGGCGGGCAGAGGCGTGAGCACCAGCAGAGGGCGCGCCGTTGTGGGGGGCACTCACCCAGCTGGGAGTAGGTCTCCCTCAGGTCCGATTTGCAGATGATGCCATCCCGGTTCTGGTCGATGCAGCTGAAGGCCTGTGAGGTGGGAGCGGCGGGGTGAGAGCAGCACCTTCCCGGGAGTCCCGGAGGGGGAGAGGAGCAGGGGTGGGCCGCACACTCACTTCCTTGAACTCCTGGATCTGGGCTTGCTCGAACATGGAGAAGACGTTGGAGGAGCCACGCTGGGCCTGCTTGGTGGCCCCGGCCTTGCCGCGGGTCCCTGCCTTCCTGCTGGCCTGCAACACCAAGCGTGGGCAGGTGCCCCCCCCCCCCCCCAGCTCCCAGCGAGGACCCCATGCATACCCCTGAGCACTGCCAGGCTGCTGCTCTTCCCCAAGCTGCAGGATCCGCCACTCCCGCCCCAGCCGGCCGTGCTCACTCACCATGCTCTCTGCTGTGGTCACTCGCTGCCTGCCAGCCACCTTTATGCTGAGGCCTTATCACCTGGGCAGCCAAATAAGGAGATGTGGAGAGGACAGGCCCAAACTTGGCAGCAACGCCTGGGCAGGGGGAGGAGGGTCCATGGGCAGGTCCTGGCCACATTCCTGGAGCCTTCCAGGCCCCTGACCCCTGCCCTCTGGGTGGCCGTGGTCGGCAGGTCTGACTGTACTGGCTCCTGAGAGCCCGGCAGACGTGGCATTTACACCCCCCCTAGCACTGAGCCAGGCTCCTGCTGCTGCCTTTCCAGCGGGTCTAGTCCCACCCCCGGCCCTCGGCCCCGAAACACAGGATGACCCCAGGCTGCCAGGCTGCCAAGGCTTGTAGGTCTGGGCTTTGGTGCATCTGACGCAGGGCAGAGGCAGCCCGGAGCTGACAGTGATTGTAGATGAGTCCACAGGAGACACGGGGATCATGGAGCTCGCTTGACCAAGCATTCCCTGGAGCCTCGGGAAAGCGGACCACGAGCCTCCCGTATGCAGCTGAGAACAACTGCTCCTGACAGACTGGGCAGCAGCCCCCAGGCCTGTAAGGGATGAGGGCACACGGCCCATGGCTGGAAACGGGGGCCTTCCAGAGCTGATGCTCTCTGGACTGGGGGCAGGAGGGCTGGGGACTGGCCGTCCTGAGTCCTGAGCAGGAGTGGTCACCCACACGAGGCAGCCCTGGCCAGTTTGCCTCTCCATCTGGGGACAAGACCAAAGTCTAGCCACTGGGGTAAGGAGATTCTCACACCTAAGACTCTCACTCCTTTTACATAACAGGGATATCATTTTATTCTATCTCTCCAGAAATAAAAGTCATAGAATATATGACCTACCTCCATCACTGTCACTGTCACTGTCACTGTCCTCCCGTTGTTTATTGATTTGCTCAAGCGGGCCCAGTATCGTTCTCCATTGTGACAATTGTGTTACTGTGTTTGGCATATTGAATACGTCATGGGTAGTTTGCCAGGCTTTACCATGTGGGCGAGATACTCTCAGTTGCTTGCTGGCTCTCCAAGAGGGGTGGAGGAATCGAACTCGGGTCGGCCATGTTGGCCACTTGCAAGGCAAACGCCTACCCGCTGTGCTATCGCTCCAGCCCAACCTACCTCCATAGCGGGAAAAATGCTATCACTACCACACCCTGAACTATGACATAAAGGAAACGTAGGGGGTGATTTCGGTGAGACAGTGTGTACATGCTCCAACACGGGGGCTCCAGACTTGCAGGCTCGGGGGCCCGGACCAGTCCCGAGCAAGGCGGACGCCCTCTCCACTGTACTATGGCTCTGGCTCTCACTTCTCTCCGGGGCCTTTCTGCTACCTTGACCACTTGGGGAAGAGGTCACTCTGGACAACAACTGGGTGCTGAAAAGAGGCAAAGTGACATGCATGATGTTCTAGTACTGTAAACCACAGTACCTAAAAGGGAAAAAGAAAAAAAGTGCCTGCCACTGGGGCAGTATGATGTGTGTGTGTGTGTGTTGGGAGGGTGTGGAGGGAAACTGGGGACATTGATGGAGGGAAGTGGACACTGGTGAAGAGACTGGTGTTAGAACCCAATCATGAATGATTTTGTAACTTTGTAATTCACTCTGATTCAATTAAACAAAACAAAACAAAACAAAACACAAGAACTAAGCCCAACAGGGTAAATCCCATGACTGTTTGCAGGGGTGTGTGAGCAGGGGCCTTGGAAAGCCCCCTGCCTCTGACTGAGTGCCTCCATGGCCCCATTCCCCACCCTCCGGAATGCCACAGCCTGGCCGGGTCCACGGAGGCCACGTTCCAGGCCCGGCTGGAGCTAACACACCCTCCACCCTCATGGCTTCCCATCTCACCCTGAGCACAAAGAACACCTGAACTCTGAAAACTTTTAATTAAAAAAAAAAACCCTAGTCCAGCTTGGCGCAGAGAGGGGTGTGGCCATAGAGGTCTGGCTAGGACAGGGAGTCTGCTGGGCCCTGAGTGGGGAGTCGCGCTGAGCACTGCTTAGAATGTCCTTCTGGGCCAAGCAGGGGGGGCCAGCGCCCCATCTCTGAGGTGCTCCCAGACCACAGGCAGCTGGACTCTGTCTCTGACACCCCTGCGGGTGTCACTCCAGATCACCACCCACTCTGGGATTGCATACTGTGGAAAGGCCTCATGAGCAGGCCCGCGTGTCCACAGCACCCACGGGGAGCAGGTCCAGGGGCCCTGGAGGAAAGAATGGCCCAAGCCTAGATCCGGCGGGGTCTGGGGAAGCCAGGCCGCGATAGGGTGCAGAGGGCACCCCAGTCCCCGGCGGGGGCTCCGGATGTGCTGTGAATGCGGCGCTACCAGCTCAGTCCCCGGTCCCACAGGACTCTGCAGGCTGTTCCACCTCGAGGCGGGGCGCTGGACTCCCCGCAGCCCCCCGGGGCCGCGCACCGCTGCTGGTCCAGAGTCCGGGGGCGCGCAGTCGTTGGAAGGCAGGCCCGGGCCGCCGCGTCCTCACTGGCCCAGCATGCAGGCCTTCTTGCAGGCCACGGCGGACACGAGCGCGGCGCCGCGGCCGCTGCCCTCCTCCGACTCGATGAAGGTGATCTCGCAGCTGGGCGTCAGCCGGCGCACGCTGGCGTGGAAGCGCTCCTTGAAGCTGCGTGGGAGGGAAAACGGGCTGCGTGGGGCTCCCCGCTCCCCGCCCGCGCTCCCCGCCCCCCGCCTGGCCCGCGCGGCGCACCTGGGGTGCAGCTTGTACACGGAGCCGTCCACGCCCACTGTGATGCGCATCACGTCCTCGCTGCGGCTCTGGCGCATGCGGTTGATGACGCCCGCCAGCCCCGCAGCGCACATGTGCGCGGCGCGCGTGGACACGCTCTCGCAGGCGCGGCGCACCAGGTCGCAGTCGGCGGCCGACGCGCGCAGCCCCAGCGTGCGCAGGATGTTGGCGATCTGCTTGCGGTCGCCCGAGTCGCTGCGGGTGGGCGGCAGGGGTGCGGGCTGGGCGCGCGTCCGGCCCTCCTCCCCTCCCCTCCCCTCCCCTCCCCTCCCTTCCCCGTCCGGTCCGGGCTCCCGCTTCACCGCGCCCTGCGTCCCGCGCGGGGACTTGGAAGTGAGGGCGGGCCACGGAGGGCCCTGGGACCCAGCCCTCCGTCCACGCTACCCCAAACTTTGTTGCCCGCGTCCGGGGACCCCTCCCCTCTCCCGCCGCGGAACCCTGACGCCCTGCACACCTCTCCACCTGCGACACGAAGCGGGTCTCGAAGGCGCCGCGCGTGCGCAGCTGCTCTGAGGCCTCCCCGTGGAAAAGCAGATTCTCATCCACCAGCTTCAGCAGCACTAGGCGCACCAGCTCGCCCATATACTTGCCGCCGATGAGCTTCTCGAACCTGTGCACACAGCACCCGGCTCAGCCCCCTGCAGCTCTGCCCTGGGGCTCTCAGACGCCCTGGGTGCCCCACAACCCCGGGTTTCTGCACCTCTGCGGTCCCAGGCTCAGAGGGACACGTGGAAGGGGCACTTTCCTGACGCCCTTCCCGGGCTACTCCTTCCTTCATTTATCAGCATGGATCAATTGGTGGCCCGGGAAGGGGTGGAGGACCTCCTGTCCCCTCTACATCCCTCTGAGACTGTCCCGCCGGTGTCCCTGAGACCTAGCCCACGGCCATCTGTTTGGGTGCCTTCCGCTGTGTGGTGACAAGGGAGATTGAGGCTCAGAGGGAGGGCCCACGCCAGGGTCTGTGGGTCTCTGTTCTGTATAATACCAAGAGCCTGCAGAGCAGTCAGGAAGCTGGGAAGGATGAGCAGGGAGGGGCCTGGCACGCCAGCCGCGCCCAGCACTGGAGCTCATTCAGTCTGTGGGGGCTAAGTCTTTGTGTCCTAACCTGCAGCACCCCACGAAAGATTGATCCCAGGGCATGGAATGTCCTTTGGGGACTCCAGCTAGCGCTGCTGGGGCCACTCGGAGCCTTTGCCGTGCCAGCGGTGCCAACTGTCGCTGCTGGCCTATTCCAGACCCTCTCTCTGCACGGAGCCTTCACTCCAGTGCTGTCCGCTCAGAGCGGGGCACACAGGCAGAAGGACGTGCCCGCCACTTAGGAGGGCCCTGCCGTTTGCTTTTCCCCAGAATGGTTTCGTAACGGGGCCATTATCTGCCTGGATGAGCAGGGCTGTTCCAGGAAGGGGCGTCCTTACAGCTGCTGGCCGGGGTTCAAGGAGTTCTCGTCCACCACGCGGTCGTACTCGAGCAGGAATTCATCCAGCTCCCCCGAGTCCCCGAAAGCGCCCCACTCGGTGTTGACACACATGCGGCCCTCGTCACCTTCCACCAGCTCCACGTTCTGCATCTCCTCCATGTAGCACGCGTTGCAGCCTGTGCCTGTGGGGAAGGTGGGGTCAGGCTCCCCCAAGGGCCTCCCCCAGCCCGGATGCTTCTGGAACCCACAGAGGGGCACGTGTGGGAGGGAGTGCTCTGTCAGTCAGAGGCGGGAGTGGGGTTGACGCTTTCATAGCGTCTGATGCATCATCCTTGTTCGTTTTGTTTGAGAGTCACTCCATCTGTGCTCAGGGCTGACTCCTGGCTCTGTGCTCAGGGACCACTCCTGGGGGCGGGAGGCTCAGGGTTCATATGGGGTGCGAGGGATTGAACCTTGGTGGGCTGCGTGCAAGGCAAGTGCCTTGCCCCTTATATGATTGGTCCGGCCCCTCCCTGCATGTCTGAGCTCCCCTTCCCCGAGGCCTGCTTTGGGGAGCACGCAGAGACGAACCTTTGGGAGCAGTACATGGGCCTGAATATGGGATCTGAGGATTCTGGGCAAAGTAAGAATGTGGGGTCCTCCACTCATGAAGTATTGAGGACCTGAGAGACACGACAGGGGTGGGGCACTTGCCTTGCATGAGTCCGGCCCAGGTTCAGTCCCCAGCATCCCATTTGGTTCCCTGAGTATGGCAGGAGTGACCCCTGAGCACAGAGTCAGGAATAAAGCCCTAAGCACTGCTGGGTGTGGCTTATCCTCCATATAAAAAATAATAACAGTAGGGCGTCTGCCTTGCGCGCAGCCAGCCTGGCCAAGCCAGGTTTGATTCCTCCGCCCCTCTTGGAGAGCCTGGCAAGCCACCGAGAATATTCAGTATGCCAAACACAGTAACAAGAAGTCTCACAATGGAGATGTTACTGGGCCCACTTGAGCAACCACTGAGGACAATAGAGATACAATAGAGATAGAGAAACAGTATAAAAAAAAAACAGTATCAAAAAACACAAACACCAGCCTTTGATGGGAATTCTCCCCATTTTTACCTCATGGTAATTATGATTCACTTGCTTTTAAAGTACCGAGCAGTGAAGTCAAGAGTGTTTGTCTAGCAGCCATCGACCAGCCAGGCTGTAAAGTGTGTGTGTGTGTGTGTGTGTGTGTGTGTGTGTGTGTGTGTGTAGGGTGAGGTATGTGTAATGTGTGTGTGTGGTGTGTTGGGGTGGGCATATGGAATTTGTGTGGTAGATGTATGGAGTATGATGTGTGTGGGGTGTGTGTGGGCCACATGGGTGTATGTGCATTGTGGTGTTTGTTTGTGTGGTGTGTGTGTGGTATATGTGCATTGTGGTGTTTGTGTGTGTGTGTAAAATTGGAGGGGGGTTCTCAAGCACAAATATACACACCTTCAAGGCTGCTGTCACTGACACAGCCAGTGCGTGGAGTCCAGGAAAGTACCCAGCCCCCTGCCCCATGTGCCCAGCAAGTGACTGATCTGCTAATACTGAGGCTGCTGTGTGGGTGGAGGGAGGGGGACAGGGGGCGGGGGACGATGCTGTGCCTGAGGCCAGCACAAAGTCTAGGCAGGAAGCTCTCCAGGATAGGCTGAGTGCCTCAGACACGGGAGGCCGGTCAGAGAGGGAGTCACCACTTTACTGATGTGCTTCCACTTGGTCACATCTGTCCAGTTTGGCCCATTTGGCAGATGAGGTGCTCTGATTAGATCCGGCGGGGCCAGGTAGATGTACAGCTGGCCTTCCACTGATGCGGCGACTTCCGAGTATTGAAATGCTCTACCAGTAACCGGCAGCTGCCACTGAGACAGTCCTGACCTCCCACAGGCTCCAGGACGGCTCTAACCCCCCCACAGCTACCAGGACGGCCCTGACCTCTCCACAGTTGCCAGGACGGGGACAGCCCTGACCCCTCCACAGCCGCCAGGACAGGGATGGCCCTGACCCCTCCACAGCCACCAAGACGACCCTGACCTCTCCATAGCCGCCAGAACGGCCCTGACCTCTCCATAGGCACCAGGACGGCCTTGACCTCTCCACAGTCACCGGGACGGCCCTGACCCCTCCATAGGCACCAGGACGGCCCTGACCCCTCCACAGCCAGCGGGACAGTCCTGACTCCTCCACAGCTACCAGGACGGCCCTGACCTCTCCACAGCCTCCGGGATGGCCCTGCCCCCTCCACAGCCACCAGGACGGCCCTGACCCCTCCATAGCCGCCGGGACGGCCCTGACCCCTCCATAACCACCAGAACAGCCCTGACCCCCATTGCTGCCAGATTCAGTGCCCTGCACACAGTATGCAATCCTCACCAGGTGCAAAACACGTGGGTCGCTTCCCTGAGGTCCTGAGTCAGGAAAGCCCGTTGACTGAGCCCCCAGAAGAGCTGCTCCTGCGTCCTTACCCACAATCATGCCGACCTCACACCGGTGGTCTTCATAGTAGCAGGAGATCATCGTGGCCACTGTGTCATTCACCATCGCCACCACGTCCATCTCAAAGTCCTACCAAGAAGCACAGAGCAGGTGGCTGGGGCTCAGTGCTCAGCTCAGCCAGCTCCGAGCTGTGGGGACCACGGAGGCTCTGGGAAGCCACCAGGCCTCCCCAGCGTCCTGGCCTGCGGGGAGGGTGAAGGAGAGCCTAGGGCAGTGGTGGGCGGGCTCGGGGTCCACCTCACCCCTCTCCGTTTGATGGCGTCTCGTAGAAGCCCCACAACGTTGTTTCCTTCTGCTCCCGAGGCCTTGAAGCCCTTGGTCCAGTTGAGAAGGATGCCCTGTGGGAAGAGGGGCACCCTCTGTGCTGGGTATGGGGGATGGGCAGGGAGATGCAGGGAGGAGCAGCCCACTCCCCAGAGCAGCTGTCACACACGCAGAGGAGGCCCCAAACCAGCTCCTCCCACCCATCTCTCGAGGTGGCTCTCACAGCTTCCGTGTGAACACTGAGCTGCCGTCCCCTCAGCCACGGGGCGCGTGCGTTGTTTCCCTATGACTGATGCGTGCGCAGGTTCACCGTTGGCAGGTGCCTACCTGACGTTTGTATGTCTCATCTACTCGTGGGGGTGTGACAGACATGCAGTGCACTTGTGCTTACTGTAGGTAATCAGGCGTCCCTCCAACTGCTGTGTCTATTTGTATGCAGTGGAGATGTGTATATAATTTATGTGTCTGGGAAATCATCCCCTTAGCAAAAATCCTCAAGGTCAGGGCAGCACCCTGGACAAAACAGTTTAGGTCTCAGAGAATAATGGGACAAGCAAACATGCCCCAGGAAGGAACAGAGTAGTTGAGGGGTGAGCTGAGTTTCTGCCCTGCAAAACCCCAGGAGCCACACCCCTACTTCTCAGTTGCTTCCCTGCCAGTGGCCAAATCCCGCTGCTTTATGACTGATCTCTGCAGCGACATCTACCTGCCGAATCCAGGTTCACTGGTTTTCAGGCTGGAAACTCTGGGGTCTTCTCAGAGTACAAACAGGTAGCCTCCCCCCATCTCCCGTACTTCAGGAGGCCCCGGCAGCCATACCCACATCCTACGACCGCCAACGTGTAAACTCATGGCACAGTTATATATCCTGGAATTTCTGGAGCATGCAGCTACCTCTAAACTCTATAATACTAATATCCAGTAGGAACGCTCAAAATTATGTGAGAAAGTAATGTGGAAGGCAACTATACTCAATAAACAATAACACAAAGGCTCCACTAGCAACAAGCAGCTTAGTAAACCCGCAGACAAGGACCTAGTGACCTCATGGTGAGATACAGCTATTATCACAAATAATCTTTTATGAATACATGCCTCTCGGAGAGCTCAGCTAGCTACCGAGAGTATCCTGCCCACACGGCAGAACCTGGCACGCTACCCGTGGCATATTTGATATGCCAAAACCAGTAACAATAATGGGTCTCATTCCCTTGACCCTGAAAGAGCCCCAATCATTGGGAAAGACGAATGAGGAGAGGCTGCTAAAATCTCAGGGCTGGGATTAATGGATACGTTACTGGTGACCACTTGAGTAAATCAATGAACAACGGATTGACAGTGATAACAGTGATACAGTGATCTTTTATGAAATAGTTTTTGATAATTCCACTAGCCGTTTTGTTGTCATAAGTAATATAAAATAAACTATTTTGTGCTTGCTAAGGAGACAGGCTTGGGGTTGATTGGGAACATGGGGGCAGTGGTGGAGGGAAGCCCACACTAGCCATGGGACTGGTGTTGGAATATTGAATACCTGGAATAAGTTTATTATGAACTTTGTAATACATGGTATTTAAATAAAGTGGCAAGCAAATGCCATTTTGTTGTCATAAGCAATATAAAATAAATTATTATATATATATATATATCACGATCACGATCATCCTGTTGTTCATCGATTGCCTCGAGCAGGCACCAGTAATGTCTCCTTCATCCTAGCCCTGAGATTTTAAAAAGTTCTATATCCAAGGCTCTTTCAGGGTTAGGAGAATGAGACCCATGATTGTTACTGGTATTTGACATATTGGGTACGCCATGGGGAGTTTGCCAGACTCGGCCGTGTGGGCAGGTTACATTTGGTAGCCTGCCAGGTTGTCCAAAATAAGAACGAGATAGTAAGATGTTGCGCACCCGCAAATGCGGCCACGCACTTCCAGGAGCTGGATTTTATAGTCTATTTTATATATAATATGAAACAATTAGGGTCTTTTAGGTATATCAGGCAATACAAGCAAGCACAGAACAGGAGCCTGTCACAGCTGGCCTCGCACTTTGGGGGTCGTGCTGATGGCCTGTGTGAGCTGTCCCTGCTCTCCATGGCCCACTGAATGTTGACGCACTCACTAACTGTCCTCACTGTCTCTATCAGCTTGAAAAATTTACTTCATTTTGGGAGCCAGGGTGGGAGACTGATGTTGGAGTGTACAATAGTCAGCCCAGGTGACCCTAAAGCTTGGAAATGTATTTATTTGTTTCCTTGTGTGTTTGCTGGTCTCATTCTCTGTAACCAACCTCTGTCAGATGGGGGTCGAAGGTGTGAGACCCGATTTGCTTTAGTATGATAAATTACCACATGCATGCGTATATGTGAACGTCAAATTTAGGTGTGAATGTGGAGGCTGTGTGTGTGACCATGGCAGGCTAATATGCCAGCCACAGGCAGGGTCAAGTTTCAGCTCCTTCCAGGGGCACCGGCAGCCCTTGATTTGGAGCCCCACCAGGATTTTCTGAACATTGCCATTCCCAGAATCCCTCAGGGATTCTGCTTCTGATTCGTAATGGAGGTAAAACAGTATATACCTCATCCAAGACATAGTAAGACTTCGGTCATGATGTGATGTTTATTCCCAAAGTCTGCTGACATAAGTGAGGGAACATGCAAGGCACTTTGCTCACTGAGGACGGGGGAATGTATTTGAAAGCAGTCCTGGTTGTCAGGTTGTCCAAAGTAAGAACAAGATAGTAAGATGTTGCGCACCCGCAAATGCGCAACATCTGGGCTGCATACCCTCCGATGCTCCCTCTGCCCTCGCCCCCGCCTGCTCACCTTGTCAATGTCTTCATGCCTCACAGGGAAGGAGAAGGTGAAGCCCAAGGGCAGCTTCTTGTGCTTCATCTGGTGCTTGTCCAGGAAGTCGGAGATGCACTCAGAAATGTAGTCGAAGAGCTGGGGGAGGTGCCCAGCAGGCCACAGTCACACCAGGCCCCTGCCCAGAGCTGTGCCTGCCATTGCCACCAGCACCTTCACTGGTGCCAGCATCTGCAGACAGCAGTGCCCAGGATGGGGACCCCCAGAAGGCAGCTGCTCCCTAGAACCACTATGCCAAAAGCCCACCCTGCACCTGGGGCTCTGGACAAGAGTTCCCTGTGGTCACTATTTTATCTTCACACCCAGAGAGTATTGGCTCCCTTCAGGTGCCCAGTTGCCTGGCCCCCAACTGTCCTGCCCCTACAACGCCCAGTTCCAAGTGCCCTACCCCCAACTGCCCTGTCCCCGGCCCAGCCCGGCTCCTGTATCTGTCAGAACCAGCAGTCAAATGCTCCCTCACTTGATGCTCAAGGCCACTCTCCACCAGCTTGAATGAGCCTCACCTACAGGGGAACCTGCAGAAAAACCCAGGCATGCAGGACCTGTGACTGAGATCTCCAAGCCCCCTTGGAATAGGACTGGGCCTCCTCCCCCCAGCTCCCTAGTTTTCCAGTAACTTGGCAGTCACACCCCCAAACCGCCCCTGGCGCCATGTAATCTCCTCAACAGCCAACACCCAGAGACTATGAAATAAAGATCCCAGAAGAGAGCAATCCAGAACATTCTGGAGTGGGCGGCCGGATTCACGGCCATGGATCCTCTTACACTCTATCCCACTGATGCACCAAAAGTAGCACACATTTCTTTGGCTTTAATACACAGGCCTGTAATCTCTTATATAAGGGCTTAGATGGCTCCAGGGTAAAATTCAACAGTCTTAAAACACTTTCCTTTTATGGTGGTGGGAAGGTGCACGGTGGTGGAACTGGTGTTTGAACCTCATTTGTAATGAACTATTGTGAACAACTTTATAAAAATAAAAATTTAAAAAAAGTTCCCTCTCTCCCTCCTCAAGCTCCCTGCCTGGTGCTGGGCCTGTGACCCCCACAGTGTCCTGTAGCCTTCACTCACACCTGCCCACAGCAAGAACCAGGCCACCACAGGCCTCCTATCCCCTGGGGCCTGGGATCATGGTGCGGGTCTCTGACGATGCCGCCCAGGACTCATTTACCTCCGTGCTCCCCCGTCACTGCTGCCAGGAAGGAACATGCTTGTGCTCACCCCACTTGCTGGTGGAGGCAAGAGGGGGAGGGGTTGGGGGCACTGGGGGGTTGGGGCACAGGAGGCTCGCCATGGGGGCAGGGTGTCCCCTGGGCTGCCCGCTGACACTTGTGGTCGTTCTAGGAAAGTGGTCAGGGCCCCAGAGGTGGTCCAGCCAGATCTCTCACTGCTTAACACGCCCCCTCAACCCCCCCCCCCCCCCCGGACAGGCAGAGCCTGTGTCAAGCCCAGCTCCAGGGAGCCCAGCCTGTCCCCAGCCCCACCCAGAGCTCACCATCTCCGCGGTGCCCGTCCTGGCGTCCTCGGGGATGGAGTACATCTGCTGCTTGGTCTTCACGCTCCACTGGCCCGCCTCGCCCTCCCCCACCTTCACGAGCATCACCCGGAAGTTGGTGCCGCCCAGGTCCAGGGAAAGAAAGTCCCCGACTTCTGCATCCATAAGAAGAAGCCCATCAGCTGGTGGGGGGAGGGTCACCCCCACAAGCCAGGAGAGGAGGAGGAACCAGTATGGAGGGAGGGTGGGGGGTTGGGGGAGGGGCAAAGCGGGGCTGGCCTGCGGAAGGGCCAGTGGGCGCCCTTGGGGAAGTTGTGAGCACCACGCCTTGGTCTCAGTCTCCCGGGCTCGGGTGGGCTGTGGGTCCCCGTGTACGGCCACAAGGAGCCATCTGCTGAAGTGGCTGTGCCCAGGCTGGGAGCCAACTGGTGTGGAGGCCACACCCTTGGGGGAGCTGGCTTGGGACACACGCTGCCTCCCCGGACCCCTACCCGAGCCTTCCGGGGTGGAGCGCACATAGGTGGGCAACATCTTCACGCTGGCCTCCTCGTGCGTCTCCAGCCGCAGCCCGCGGTCCATCTCCTTCTGCATCCGCTGCATCACCTTCTTTAGATCCTCCTCCTGCAGCTGGAACTCCGCCAGGATGTGCTCCACCTGCGAAGGGAGAGGGAAGGGGCTGCTGGGCAGGGGGCCAGGCGCCTGGGGGGCAGTCATCAGGCTTGTCTGCAATCCGTCCAGGCCTCCTTCTTTCAGCAGCATCTAAATGACCCCAGTTAAACCACTTGAGCTAAAACAGGGCTGGGAACCTGTTCAGTGGAGAAGACGCTTTCCTTGCACGCGGTTAACCCTGTTTCAACGTGCAGCACCCCTATATGGTCGCCTTCCAGGAGTGATCCCTGAGTGCAGAGCCAGGAATAGGCCCTGGGCGTCACTGGGTATGGCTCAACATTTTCAAAATTGGAGCAGCAGAGTTTCAAGATCACCCCGAAGCACAGATGGCCCGGGGTGTGCCGGGGGCCAGATGCAGAGGCCAGGTGTGCCCTGCGGGTCCCAGAGAGGGGCATTATGGCCGGGAGGAGGAGGCAGGTGCTGGCCTGACTGTCATTCTGCCTCTCAGAAGTTCTGTTGAGGAAATAGGATCATGCATAGCCTTGCACGGGATGGCCCTGTGCAGTCAGACCAGGAGAAACCACGGGGCCAGAGGGCCACAGCAGGGCTGGCAGGGTTGGGGGTCCTACGTGGTCATGAGAGGGGGCCATGTGCATGAAATTGAACCTTTCCCTGAAGCATGGGTGGCGCAGGGGAGGGGTTCCCCTGAGGTATCTTCCAGGCCATCTCTGCTGATGAGGTCACCTGTGCCCAGTGGCTCACCACACTTAATGTCCCTGTTAGGTCCCTGTGCTGAACTTCCCCAAGCACTGCCCCCTGGGCTTGCCCCACACCTTGGAGGTCAGAGCATCCTCTGGTGATTGCCACCCTCACCCCCGGCTCATGGGTTCTTGGAAGCAGAAAAGGCAGGAGATTTCTCACCAGTCCGCTGTGGCGCTGTCCCTGTAGGCTCGGGTTCCCAACTACAGAGGGAGGCCACAACAAGAGACCACAGAACTGTTTATCCTCAGTGTGTTAGGCCACACTCTATTCAGGGGGCAGCGTCAGACGGAGGGTCCCTCCTGGGCCCCTTAATGCAGTCAACCCCACCCTTCGACAGGTGATTTGATTCAGGTTGGGGTAGAGGACCCAGTTCTAGCCCTGGATCGGGTTTAGACGGTGGATGGTCAGTGCCCTCTAACCTTTTGCACTCACAGAAGGACACGGTGGCCCCACGGTGGCTGCCATCTTGCCGCCATGAGGACACCAGGCTGCAGGGGAAAGGCTACTGGCACAGTTGACAATGATGAATTGTTGCTGTTGATCTCTGCACCCCGTTTCTGACGTAATGCTTCTGAGATTGCTTCTGAGACCCTTAAATGAAAACAAAGGACCCTGCATATTCGTTCATACTTGATCTCTGTCCCTAGCTCTTGGCATATGTCCCTGAAATCCTTGGTCATTCTCTGGGCATAGAAGAATCTTTTTTTCTGAAGAGGTGACTCTGAGTTGGCTCCTGGAGGGTGCTGGCTGCCCAAAGGGCCAAGTCAAGATGGAAAGTTTGGAGTGGCCTGCCCTATCCCCCTGCACTGTCCCCACCCTTCCTTCCTTGAGAAGGGGAAGGTCAAGTGAAATGAATAAAAGGAAAAAGAGATATTGGGTAATCTGTCTGAGTGTGCCACATAGGATTCAAAATGGATAAACTAACAGAACAAAAAAGACAAACCCAGTGGACGCTAATATCAGAAGGAAGAACTGAGTCAGAGTTCAGGGAAAGAGCACGTGCTCTGTGTGTGTCTCTCACACAAACACACACACACACACACACACACACACACGTGCGCTCCATTGGTTCCCCTACACTACAAAACCAGCAGAAACTCTTTCACTTCCTTTCTTCCCTGAGTCTCCGATAACCACAAAGAAAACAAGTCAGAAAGAGCACCAAAGGGAGAGCTCATGAGCTGAGCATACATGCAGGGGGCCTGGGTTTGATGCTACATGGTCTCCCAGCACTGCTGGGGGCATGCCCTGAGCACAGAACCAGGAGTTGTCCCTGAGCACTGTCAGGTGTAACTCCTGAAAAAACACTTTCCCCTCCCAAAAATTGAAGGGGGAGAGGAAAGGAAGGAGGAAGGAAGGGAGGAAGGAAGGAAGGAAGGAAGGAAGGAAGGGAAGGATGGAGGGAGGAAAGAACCTAGGGGTTTAAAAAAATAGCACAGGGGTAAGGCGCATGCTATGCAGTTGACAAACAGGGTTTGAGCCCCTGTTTCATATATGGTTCCCTGAACCCTGTGGGGTGTGGCCCTTCTACCCTCCCCTCCGAAGAAAAGAATTTCAAGGCATTCCTAGAAGCTGCAGATTTGCTTGGGCACCGTTGCTCTCACTGAGGAGTCCACTGAAACTTTAACCCAGCCAAGGTACACTATGATGACATCACGCATCATTCCAGCATCTTCCCAGAGAAGAGGGTGGCCAACACCCACTACCTTCCCAGAGGTGGGCTTCTTCAGAGATCCTGGGCCTCGAGAGATGATGTGAAGGGGCCCTGGACACCACTGGCATCCTCCTGCCCCCTCTGTCCTGGTCTCCATGACATGGGGGGTCTCTGGCTCCCAGGCCAGAAAGCCCCTTTGTAGGACCCTGCACTCACAGATGTCACAGATCCTGTGCACAGGGCAATTAGAGTGGCTTCAAGTTTCATTTTGCTCTAGTTTCAAATTTCATTTCTTCCATATGAGAAATGACCCCATAGAGTCCTGAAGCACCCAGGCTGGTGCCGCAAAGACTGCAGGGGTCACCATTGGCAGCGGTCACCATCCATGCCGTCACCCCTGCTAGGGCCCTTGGAGTCTCTAGAAGTCGACACTCCCTGATGTGAGCACAGAAGTTTCCGAGCTGGAGTCCAAACCCCTCCCCCCAGTCACCCCGGCCCTCCCTGGAGCCCCCATCCCAGCCACAGAAGTGCTTCTTCATCGGGGCACCATACAAGTGGTTGGTGGGTCTTGCCTAAGCAACCTAGGGATTGAGGGTATGGCCTGCAGAGACTTGGAAAGCAACGTGCCGTCTCCCATCAGGCCTCAGGAGAATCCCACCCTCACACTCTCTGGGACACAGCCTCATGGGCACGGAGCCGGCCAGACACAGGGTGCTGCTCCCCAGGGCCCCATGCCAGTTAGGTGCCCTGCAACTGGAGACCCAGTCTGGTCAGTGGAGCCCCCTGTAGGCCAGTCTCTCCCTGGGGAAACACCAAGAGCTGCCCCTGTGGAGAGACAGAAAAGGAGCCTGGAGAAGAGAGTGACGCACAGCTTGGAGGGGAGATAAAGCGGGCAGGCAGGGGCTCTGCACCATGGGTAAGCCAGGAGCCCCCACGGGGAGGGTACCGGAGGCAGGCCTGCCACTGAGGTCTTGGGGGTGGGGGTGGCAGGAAGAGGTGACTCAGGGACCAGAGCAGGGAGCTGATCCCATACTCCATGCTGGGATCAGGGCTGAGTCTGGCCTGACGCAGGATGGCTTTGCCGATAGTGTCAGGAGTGAGGGGATGCCAAGAGCTGGGTGAGCTCAGTGTTGAACTGAGCGAGCAGGAGCAGAGACACCGCTTTCAAGAAAGGGCGTAGAGATGACGCACCAGCTAAACACAGGAAGATGGGTGGCAGCAGCTGTAAGGTGTGAGAGGTCAGAGGTCAAGGGTCAGCCTGGCTGTGAGGCCTGGGCAGAGCTTCAGGCCATGGCTGGGACAGGGTTACACAAGGTGTGGGGATGGTGCTTGGTGGGCAGGACGCAAGGAGCTGGGGTTTATGGACTGCGTGCTGGCTGCGTGTTGTTACATGCAGGACTCAGCTCTTGGGGACCCTGTTCCCAAGAGGCAAGGAAGGAGACAGAGCCCTTCGAGGTGTTTGAAGACAGCCAGGTACTTCCCTCTCTGCACAGCCTGGGGAGGGCCCGGCCCCTTTGCACCAGGAGGCCCCCCCGAGGGCCAGAATGGGGCCTCTGAGCAAACATCAGGGGCCTGAGGGGTTCTGGAGAGTACCCCAGTGCACTGGGGGCACTGTGAGCTCTGGTTGCCAACCGGCTGCAGCCTGGGTCCTAAGATGCTAAGTGGGAGAGGCCCTGTCCACTCTCCTCCCTGCGAAGCCCACCCAGACCGGGCCCTGGAAGCCAGGGTGTGGGCAGAGATGGTCGAGGGCTGCCTTCAGTGGGCAGGAGATGCTCACACCACCCACTGCCACCAGGTCAGGCCAGGTCCAAAGGGCAGGGAGCTGGGAGCCAACGGGGCAGGCGGGGGGTGGGGGCAGGGCTATGGGCGGGACTCAGAGCTGAGTCCTGAGGTGTTGTGGAGTCTGTTGTCCCAGGAAGGCGGTCACCACACTGCCCAAGGACAGGAAGACCCTGGAAGGGCCTGGTGGGCAGTGGGGAGCCTCTCTGGGAGGCGTGGCTAGTGCAGGCCCAGGAGACTCGGGTCTGGACCTCGAATTCTGGGACTCTGGTGAAGTTTTGCCTGAGGTGAGGTTTGATTTGTATTTGTATAGTCAGAGACCGGTTGGTCCCTGGGTCACCAGGGCAGGCTGGGGGAAGTGAGCAGGACCAGAGGATCCGCGCCTCCCGGTCCTGCTCACACCACACAAGGCACAAAGACAAAGGGATTTTCTGGGTTCTCTAGCTGGAGGTGCCTTGGCTAACAGATATCCTGTCCCTGGACCCCACAGACCTCGCATCCCGCGAGGGAAGGGAGCGGGACGGTCTCTCTGGCACTCCCGCCCCAGCCCCTCCTCCATCCCTGCTGCTGCTGCTGCTGCTGCTCCCCCCCTCCTCCTCTTCCTCCTCTCCCTCCTCCTCCTCCTCCTTCTCTACCTCCTCTTCCTCCTCCTCCTCTTCCTCCTCTTCCTCCTCCTCCTCCTCTTCCTCCTCCTCCTCCTCCTCCTCTTCCTCCTCTCCCTCCTCCTCCTCCTCCTCCTCTTTCTCTACCTCCTCTTCCTCCTCCTCCTCTTCCTCCTCTTCCTCCTCCTCCTCCTCTTCCTCCTCCTCCTCCTCTTCCTCCTCCTCTTCCACCTCCTCCTCCTCCTCCT